AATGCAAATGTGTTTTCCATAATTTGGAAGGCAATGCCAAAGAACTCCAACACCAGCAAAGCTCATGAGAAAAGATGATCTCAAGTCTCCTACACAATAAAATCTGGGTTTCTGGTGAAGTCAAGAGCCTGCAGTTCAAAGCGAATACTACCTTTCCACCAGTCACAGGAGAACTTATCTTGCAAAGAAGATGGGAACACTACCTCTGAGACTTAAGAGGTGATCGCTGTTCCAAATGGATTGTTGTTTTTTAAATAACTTTTCTGAATTGCACAGAAGTCTGAAATACTAGCCTGACCCACGGCAGGTAAGCTAGTGCTGAAGGAAGGCAGGCAAGAGCATAGCCAGCAACTGGACTCTACTTTGTCAGATATTCTGGGCTACTTAGTCAAGAGGGTGCGAGGCACGAGTGGGACACAGGCACGACTGCCTGCGCAGAGAGAGAACTGCACCCTCCTTCCCACGGTGGGAGGTTTTCGACTTCTGCAGTCTCCTGGCAGGATGACTACAGAGCAAGCCTTGCACCTCCCCTGCTGTTCTCAGCTCTGCCAAATACTAGAACTACCTAAAAATATTTAAATCTACAGAATAGAAAATGGCTTGGCATCAGTTCCACAGAAAAGGATCTGGGATTGCAGCTGATCAAAACTGCGCAACCTTGTACTGCAAAAAGCAAACACTACGCAAGCACGGCCTCCGAGACAGATGAGCACTCGGCTGGAGGGAAGCCTCGACTGGGTGGTTTGGACACTTCAGGGAAGATGTACTAATCAGCTGAAGAAATCTCAAGGAATAACAAAAGTTACCAGAGATCTAGAAAACCTGACCTAGGAGGAAAGACTAAGTCATATTAGGAAAAGTTTTCTAATGTTTCAGCTAATTAATCACCAAACTGTCCAACCCAGAAAAGCTGTAGAACACCTGCTATTGCAGATAGCAATAGCGTAGACATCTACCAGGAGTGGCACCACTACAGCTTGTCCTCCCTATGGCCCAACAGATGTTAGACAGGTCCTTTCTAGCCCTACATTCTCTCATTATTGTCAAGATTTAGGTTACTATGGGAAAAATAATGTTAACAAATTCCATCTCATTGATATTACTAGTATCCACCTCTGAAAAGGTCAGCTTTTAAAACTGCTAAAGTAACTGCACCGTAACAAAATCTTCCAAGATAAAAAAGCCTCAACCACAAGTTACCTGGGTGACTGGTGATACCAGAAAAAGATAAATGGATCCTTTTCAAGCTGTTATTGCAAGCAAATAATATTATGCACAGCAAGAAACTCTGATGACGTTCCTTACGGCCCTGCTCCCTGCACAGGGCTCCTTTTTATCCATGCATGCACTCAGACCCTGGGTTGTGTAAAGCTTCAAAGCTGTTTCAAAAATGACATCAAGTTATCACTCAAGTGGATATGCTAATGCTGCAGATCTTAACAGACCATCCCAAATTAAGAGAATTACAGCTTTACACTAGCAATAACACGAGCCCTGTCAGAGCACATACTGTTTGATGTCAACTACTGAAGTCAGGGTAATTTGACATAAGGCAAAGAAAATCATAGAATAGAATCACAGAATGATTAGAGTTGGAAAATCTAATTCTATTGTAATAATGAAAACATCTCAGCATAATTCAGCTATGGGCGTAAAACTAACAATTTAGCAACTGGTTTAAGAATGTAAACGTTATTATGTCCTGAGGAATGACAGCTATTCACTGAAATTATACTTCTACATCTACCTTTCCTTAAAAAGCTGTTTAAATGCCCTTAAGCTGTCTGGAAGAGAACACTGCATGCACAGTGTTATTCTCAGCAGCTTATGTCATACATTCAGATATTTGGCATTTATTCACATACCCCTATGTGCAGTCCCTGCCAAAGAAACAGTGCCAGGGCCACACTAGAGACATCTACAGTGGCTGGGCAGTCTCAATAGACATTCACTATTGTACCAAACACTGTAATTTCAGTGTTGTGAATGTACTGAACAGAGGAGCCACACAGAGAATTAAAATGTGATGCCGTAATTTTCTAAACCAATACAAACACTGTTGGCTCCCTCTGGTGCTAACATATATAACATAGTGTTACAAACTAAAACTGGTGCTAACATAATATAGCATAGTGTTACAAACTAAACCACCAGAGAGGCAAGGCAATGATATAATCCAATTATTTTGTACTGTAGATGACAGACATTTTAGTAGTAAGTGTTACAACAGCAGATTTCCTCTTACAGACAAAATCCTTAAGTCCTTACTCACAGCCTGTACCAACAGTTCTTATGTGGAGAAAACATGACACACACCTTTAAGAAGTGCCATTGTGATCCTGTGCGCACAAACATACGCCACGTTTTCGCTTCCTGAAAGTATGATCTCCATCCCATTTTTTAAGAGCAGACTTAAAAACCAGTTTCAGGCTCTTACTCATTAAATTGGCAGTGATTCCTACAGTAGTTTTAAAAAGCAGACCTAACCCACTTTTAAATCCAACCATTTATGCTACTCTGTTCAGTTATACTTAAAAATACGCATTTGTTATGCCAAACAGACTACCCAAATCAAATCAATTTTAACTCATCTATTACTAAATCTGCTCTTCAACACAGTGTACAGAATAAAAATCAAGCCACTTCTTCTATTCACAGATGTGACTGTTTGCATTTTTAAAAATGATATTCACAGCTTTGAATTTCCAGTTATACACCAAACTATCCAAATACAGTGACTTACATTGTAAGCATTATTCCTTGAATTGTTTTTACTGACTGTTTGAAACTTGCTCACAGATATTCCAAATTGTTAGATTTCTGATGCAAAACAAAGAAGTTTAATAATCTAGTCCGGAAGGGCTTGATTTTTGTTGCCCAAATGAAGGCTCAATATTCAAAAAGAGCCCTTTCTGTGATGTGTTATTATACTGCATTATTATAATTTACAACACGGTTAACTATAACACCAAGCATCTACTTAAAGGAAATGACTGTAACATTACTAAGTGGTCTTTGCTTTGCTTCAACAGCTTCCAGAATGTATTTTGCCTTTCCAGCTGAATGAAAAGGAATCATCTCAATGGATTTCTGGTCAGAAATCCAGAAAGAACTGCATTCACTACCATTAAGTGACACAAAAGTATGCCTTGTACTGAAAAAGAACCAGCATACTGCCATCGGATATCAAGAAACAGCTTTTCTTCCTCAACATGGACAGTATCAAGTAACATTAACAAGAAACTAGGTTACAAACTGTCACTTCAGAATCGTCACCACTCACTGTAAACACATTTCCAGTGTGAGAAGAATAATGTGAACTGCCTTTTTAGTTGCCATTGTATAACACACCTTCATCAAAAGCGCAGAGGATTATACGCTCAGGGGAGGCACCAAAGACAGCCCCTAGCCATCATGGCCAATGTCCCTACAAATGCTGCTGACAGCAGCATTTTTGAGCATTCAATGTCCCTACAAATGCTGCTGACAGCTTGGGCCCCGAGAGGCGGCCTGCAGGTTGTACAGCACTACTACTGACACAGCAAGCCTGAAAAAACCACTGTAATTCAGACAGCCTTTAAGCAGCTGATCGAAAGGTTATGACAGAGGAGATCTAAGCAACAGTCAAAGTTGTTTTCATTTTAACTACTTAGCCCTTTGGGAGATCACCACCTCTGCAGAGTGGGATGGTGTACCCGTGCCTCAGCCCCTGCAGTTCATAACTTTGAGTACCACCTTCAGCTGCAGAGGCAGGTAAAGGCACACCAGTATGCCACATCAAATTGGGGAAGCTGATGCCGACTTTCCTCACTACAATGCCCACAGAGGCATTGGCTGGATTGCTAGGGGACAGAAACACCTTAAACCACTGCAATTCCTTGCTCCGTTGCAATAGAGGAAGGAACAGAACCTGCACAAGCATAATTCTCCTGGTCCCAAAGTAAATTATGCCCAAGTTGTCTGTCTCCACCCATTAAAACATAGGAACTGCTAGATGAAACACAAAAACATTCATAACGGATGCCTGACATTCCTGTGATCAACACACACCTGCTTTAAGCAGTTCTCCTCATGCTGTAGAGCAAACTATCAATAAGAGGGCACAACTATTTCAAGATCAGAACAACCACTCCTCTTTCAGCCACGAGCCAAGAGTTTATTATTAAAACACAGACTAAGCCAAATGATAATTATGTCAAACATAAAAATGCCCTTCTTAAATGTCCTACATCCAAACTCGGCAGCTCCTGCTGAGATCTGCTAATTTGGTGTAAGCTTCATTAAGCTCAAGCCCTTTATTAAAAACACATTTTCCTCATTAAGGCTTCATTTTATCCAAACATCCACAACTGCAGAAATTACTTCAGATATACTAGAAACATAACAGCAGTGAGTTGCTGCCAAGGCCCATTTCAGATTGGTAGCAATTTTAATAAGAAGTGATGTATTTACTGACAGATAGATCCTGGATTTAGTATTTTATTATCTGAATAATTTGTATGAGCATTTGAATAGAATTTTACCACTGACTGTTACTGCAAAGGCCAATGTCTCAAAGCTTTATCAATTGGCTTCAAATACATTGCATTTCTGTACCTGTCATTGGAAAGAAAATCAGGGTAATGCAGTTTACCAATTTTCATCTTGCCAGTCACTTCCAAGATCTGTACCAGCAGAAAGATTTTCAACACAACCCCCTAGACTGGTAAGAAGCTAAGATGGGGAAGCTGACAGCAGAACTGGCTGTTGGTCTCACTCTCCCTTTTCCATTGCAGAGGCATTAAACCCCTAAGTAAATTTCCAACTCTGTAAAAGACTTTTAGCCAGCAGGCAGTCTTCCCTCCTAGCAAGGATTAGCTCTCACATATTTTTGCATAAATATTTGCTGGACTGGAACCTAACAACTTTACTGAGTAAGCAGCTCTCCTGAAAGTCCATTCCTACATCATAGCTTTTACATCACCTAATCTAATCACTGCAAGCAGGCGCAGATCACTCACCTATCGATCACAATCTCTTTCTGTCTTAGCAGCCCCTCTTTAATTTTCATTAGAGATTCCCAGTTGCTGAAGTCCTGATAGCTGGTAGCTGGGTAACTTTGACGAGATGTTCCAGTCGGAACCTGCATAAAATAATTGCACAATTAGCCTTCAAAACAGTAAAGGTAAATAATATCCTAGGTATTAGGGCATTTACAAAGAGGTTTGTTGTTTCAGAAACCTAACAGTAGTTTTTCAGTTTAAGTCAGATTTGCTTTATATAAAACAATTGGATTTATAAACAAGTTTCTTGAAACAAATTTCAGTCCAGTGTCAGTGATTTAAAACTTCTTTTATAATTTCTCGACTAAAGAATTCGTAGCTCTGAAAGCAGTTTGAAATTAAAAGCTTAATTAGAATTTAAGTACGTAAGAGAAACACCATGAAATGTTCATCTCCTGTTCCAATTCTTGTAGTACTACAAGCAAGATATCAGCAGGTCTAAAGCTAATTGCAGATAACAGTTACCATTCCTTTCACTTCTTTGACTCCCACCTGTAACTTTAGCATATAGAGAAAGAAATTCACCTAGACGTGTGCATTTAAAATACAGAAGATTGGAATATAATTCTGGTTAAATTCTAACTGTTTCCAAAAAAAAAAAGCTTCACAAGTAACAGGTTTCAGGCTTTCAATTCACCTTCACAAAAGCCAGGCTATGTGTCTGACAACAAACTGAGGATGACTGTTGAACTGAATATGAACCAACAACATTACGGTTTGGAAGAAAAGTAGACAACTAACTTGGATGTTTAATGAAGAAAATTTTTATACTCAGAATACAAAAAGTATTACAAATATTTGTATCAGGAATTCACATAAGGGAAGGTTTAAGTTAGAACTTCTGTGATCAGAGTGAGGGAACCCAGCATCAGCTCCCATGAGGTATCATCTAATCTTCCACCAGTTTTTTTTAATCGCTGAAAAAAAGGTTTCTCTTTTTATTATCTGGGAGGTGTCCTGGACCATGTTGCCTTTTTATGGTTTTGGAATAGAGCAGAAGGAAAAGAAAAAACAAAAAAAAAGTGAAAATATGGCTGCTTTTTTTTTAAAAAAAAAAAGTTTAGATTTTAGGATATTTTTACTTGTATTGCTCTAAAATGTTCTAAATTTCATTTGAAATTACAATAAACTGTATTAAGAACAAGACATACCACCAACAATTAAAATTAGGCAAACAATTGTCAAGCAATCCATGCTTCTGGTGAAAACTTTACTGTGAATTGTAAACCTGAATGGAGAGAATTTATTGCCTAAACCCCCATACCATGATGTGCTGACGTCAGGAACCAACTCCTGACAGCTGTGCTCTCTTCTGTAAGTTGCAAAAGTATTTTTTCCCTATTCAGTCTACTTCAGTTCAATCCCTAGCTTGCCCATTGATAAAACGGACAGAAACACGTTTTCCCTCTTTTAATGTGTAACCTAAAACTAGATATAAGATGACAAGACTTACTAGTTTTAAAATCTTCCAAGACTGTCACCTCCCCCCCAAGTCCAATGCATCTGCTTCAGGAAATATTTCTTTTGCTTAAGAAATTGGATAGCTTCAATAGTGAAATTAGTTATGAATTATTTTAAAAAAAAACAAAACACCACCACATCAGCAATTCTACACATTAAACACTTCATGCCAATTTCTGGAATGTTGACTGTGCTCCTTGCTGAACAATATCAAGTATTGTATCTTTACTGAAAAGGCCACATGGACTGGCTAAACAGTGCTTTTTGAGGAAAAGTAAAATGTGAAATAATATTAAAATAAAATTTTGTCTTAAAAGGATTCACTGATTTATGACTATGGTTAATATTTCTGATCACATGCTCATTCATGATTACATCCCACAAGCGACAAAACCCACAGAAAGTATCTGAAAATTCTCTCAATTGTTGCGCCTAAAAAACGTGCCTCATACAACTGCATACTGAAGCATAATCTAGGTATGAAACTTCTGTGGGAACAAAATTTGTCACATCTGCAATTTCTAGGAAGTCAGTCCATTAAACCTCTGCTTGTTCAAGAAAGTTATGTTAAAAGACGGCACTGCACTCCACTGGGAGGCAAGGAATGGCAAAGCTAAGTGCTGCTTGGATTAAGATCTATCACCCATTTGTTAACATTTATGATCGATTTAACAGTTGTCTTGCTTCATTTTTCATGCAGTGATCAATACTAGCATTAAAAAAATCCTAAATTGGTGATATCACCTTGGCTTTTTTTGGTTTGGGCAGCAGTCTAATAAAATCCAGGAAAGACACAACATCATGATTCTTCCTGTAAGTAATACATGTGCCGAGTCTTCAAGGATCAATGAATGTAAAATTAATTTTGCCTGTGTCACTCAATCCAGACCAGATAACTTCAAAGTCATCTTTGGTGCTTACAGAATACCTTAGGATTGTCACATATTGTTCTGTATTACAGTTATCCACATGACTGGCCGAATTAACAGGCACCAGCACAAAACTATTTCAGTGAAATAGTTTTCTCTTAGTCACACATGCCATGTCATGCAGCATAAAGTGACAATATCAGGAACTATCACTGCACTTCGTGCCAGGACATTTTTTCCTTTGCTTCTCCCACTATAGTGCTGAAGAATGTTTTTCTAGATCTACCATTATGCTACAGTCAAAAGAAGAGAAAGCATCCTCAATGCAGTTGGGATTAGATTCTTACTGTTCAGAGCCAGAAAGTCCATCTCTACCCAAAAGAATCAACCCACAAGGGTTTGACATGATAAACAGGAAATATATGGCTTTACAGAGCAAAATCAAGCCATATATTCAGCAAGGTGAATTTTGCCTTTAAGACTAAACTATAAAAATGAAGAGAGTTAAAGACAACTATTTACATACGAACCTATATTAACTGAAAACATCTTGGAAGCCACCAGTGGTTTCTCTAGCAAAATTCTTCAAAGCAAGACCATTACTACAATCTATCAGCTTTGGAAACGTAACAGTTTGTATTAAAATTAGAAAGAAACCCTTCAATTTTGGTACCATAAGTGACTATACAAGAAGTCAATTATATATTAAGGCTGCTAAAAAGCACAGCAATGAGTTTTTCAAAGTTAACAACAGAGTAATATTTTGTCAATTAGATGCTAACAATAATATGTGGGGTTTTTAAAAAAAATCTAATACATAAGGCCTCCTTAGCTGACTGACTGAGCAGCTTTTAGCTTTGGAATATATCTAATCTTATGGAATATACAGATGCTGTACACATGTATGTAACAACAAATAAAATATTATTCTGTATTATAACTGTGTGCTTCAATTTGTCACTCTGAACAGATGAAAACAACAAAAAATACTCCTGTTTCAGATATCATGTTTCAGCCAATTTAAAAAAAAAAAAGAATATGCTAAAAATACTTCTTAGCACTTCCCAGAATAACAAGACACTTCACTCATTTATGAGCACATGGTGTTGACTACTCCAAACAGCTTTCTAGCTGCTTTGAATGGTGTAGTAACACATAGGTGGTCCACTTACATTCGAGTATTTTGTCTCCTAAGGACGTCAAACCAAATAGTAAGAGTACGATACACTTTCAGGACTCATACACAGAAAGCCATCCACAACAAGTCCCCAACTTGAATCCTCCACAACTGAAAAATAAAATACCATCTTGAAATGCGCAGCATTCTTTTCCATCTGCCCTAGAAAATACAACTATTTTTGTCGCCTGGCACCTCTTCCAAGAGTATCAGCCTTGGACTGAGAACATCTGTTCAGTTAAAACAGTACCCTTTGCACATGGCGTCCAAAGGTCCTCACTAGCCTGTCTTTTGACAAGGGCTTGGCCTTGACTTTCACAGCCTGGCAAGCCTTCAAGTCACTGCTGAGGCACAGCTATCTGCTGAGGAAAAAAAAAAAAAAAAAAAAAAATCTTTTGTGTACTAGCCTATATGCAAATATTCATTGCTGGAACACACATTGCTGACTGATTCCATCATGTTTCTTAACAGTGGGAAAATAATTTTTCTCTGGACTAGAGGGTAACAAGACTTGGATAACTTGGGCCAATAACGGCTGAGTTTTTAATTGTGCTAATTAAAATTATCTTCTCCAAACATGCTTGTAGTTTGTGCCTGAAACAGTTTAGTGTCTCAGCACACAGAGTAGCACAGCATTCCACGTAACACGTTGTATCACAAAGTAAAAAGGTGGAGTCCAAAATTGTCAATGATAGCTGATCTCAAAAAAGGAATGGATATTTAAGTTGTTTTTTTTTTTTCCTGAAAGTTGCAGTTTAAATAATTTAGCACTGTCTATACTACAACTGTAAAGTTTTCACAGCCCATTACTAACTGCTAGCAGAGTACCAAAAGTTATGCTAAGCGAATGATCCCTTTTGGCCAACTGCTTACACTGCCCTACGCTATTGTAAACCTCCTTCTGTAGGTATCATTCTTCTCTCACTGCATTTTACAGGCATTCCTTACTCAGGAGAAAGAGAATTCCTTGCATCCACAGCTAATCTAAGGCAAAGAATCGATGCAACCAATCTCAGCAGGAGCACAAATGGTTCCTTTTGTTTAACTGCCAGCAGAGGAAACAAATATGAGTGTCCGCACAGGCTATGCCTCAGGGACATGGCACTTGCCCTACCACCTTACTGAGCAATAAGGGAGAAAGAAGATGTGTATGTGGCACCAGAGTGCCCAAATGCACTGTTATCACAGAGACGATTCTTGCTCTTGGCTTCCTTGTGATGGGAAAAGGATTAGATCTGTAAAGGCAGAGCAGTGGTCACTAATGAGGTCTGCAACTGCTCCCCACCCTGGGTAAGGAAAGAAGGATTTACCCATCCCTTCCTCCCCACCCAGATTTCTTCCTAACATCAGGCTGAGTGTTTCAGCTTACAACAGCTCCCTTAATTCAGACAATCCCGAAGGATCATCCATCGTCTTGCCAGCAAAATATGACAGGGCTAGCGGCTCTCGTGCAGGAAAAGCAAGAGGAGGCTGCAATCATGGAATCAGGCCCTAATTTTAAATCACTTTAAAATCAAGGCAAGGAATCATTTCTGTAGGAAGAGGTTGTGCCTTGCTGAAATACACTAGAAAG